TCTTGAATATTTACACATTAATAAGGAGAAATAGAAAAAGGAAATAAATAAGATAAATACATTAATGCTAATTTATTTTGGGAATTTCCACAATGATTCCGGTATTTTTGTCATTGATTTGTTGTCTATGATCTAATTTCTCGCTTGCATCACAGGATTGCTAACATATGGGATATCCGTGCGGGTAGGCAGATGCATAAGCTCTTAGGACATACACAATGGATACGGTAAACAAAGGGAACATAGATTTTATACTTATAACTCATTTCCCACTGTAAATTTTTATAAATTTATAAAGGTGAAGGTCTGATCCTATATTAAAAATGCAGGTCCATAAGGATGTCCAGTGATACTTTAATTACTGGTAGTGATGATTGGACAGCAAGAATATGGTCTGTTTCCCGAGGAACATGTGATGCTGTTCTAGCATGCCATGCGGGGCCAATATTGTGTGTTGAGTATTCTCCTCTGGACAAAGGAATTATAACAGGTCTGCGATCTCAGACTCTTGCCCATGCTATTGTTTGATCTTTTTCTGGGGGACGGGGATGGTTTTGGGGAGAATTTTAGGTGAGAGAAGTTTCTTGTTCTGTGCTTATATCTCAGGTGCTAATTAAACGGTTAAAATGTTCGTTTACAGGGTCAACCGATGGCCTTGTAAGATTCTGGGAAAATGATGAGGGTAAGAGCTTTGGCCATCTCATGTTGTTTCTTGTTCAGCTATTTTGCGTTCTTGATATTTACTTTCTGTTTAATTTGCATGCCGTGTACGGTTGTATTTCATTTAAGATTTCATTTTTGCAAGATTTTTTATGTAAGCATCATCATTATTCAGGAGAATAATTTGCTCCCCGCAATGCTAGGGATATTTAAAAAGAAAAATATTTAGAATTACTCTCTCTGGTTCTTATTATAGACCTATTAACAATTTTACGTAGATTAAGGAATTCAAATAAAATTAGTTAATGCTTTTAGCATTTAAAAATTACCCTTAATGAAATTCATTAATTGAAAGATGTTGTTTAGTTAGGGAATATCATAGAAAAGGACATTTGGGGGGGGTGATTTCCCATAATTTGTCTAAAATCTGCGAGCATGTCTCAGTCTCCAGTTGCAATGATATTTTATTAAGCATGACGCTTCAAAAACTCGTAGCCATACGTGAAATGTGATGGGCACTTTTGTTGGACACGCAAAACTTAAATGTTCGAATGTTGCACAATTAGCATATTAGCAATCCCAGTAATCAACAGAAGGACCCTTTTTGTAATGAGTAGGTGGACTTGTTATTTCATTGGTTTCTTAGGTACTGTCTGTTCGGTAGCATACTGAACTGCAAAGTATTTAGTGTTTGTGCTCAATCACCTGCTCAAAGATTCATTTGGTGACTAATGCTACCCTGCAGTTATTTATGAAACTAAATATTCAATATATCATTGTCATGGCATTTTTAATCCGCCTATATGGCCTGATCTTACCACCATATCGTATAAAGATATTGAGCTAGCTAACTTATATTTATTAATAGTAATGATTAATTCAATTGAAAATAGTGTGTAATGTACATGCAATTTTTTTAAGAAAGGCAACCGGTACCCCTTGGTGATGTTGCACTTTGCATGTGCAGGAGGTATTAAGTGTGTCAAAAATGTAACAATTCACAATGCTGCCATAATGTCTATCAATGCTGGGGAACACTGGCTAGGAATTGGAGCTGCAGATAATTCTATGTCTCTCTTCCATCGTCCTCAGGAAAGACTTGGTAGCTTTTCTGGTGCTGGTTCCAAGATGGGTGGTTGGCAGCTTTACAGAACACCACAAAAAACAGTTGCTATGGTAGGCATTGTCTCTTGCTTCTTTCTTTCTGAACTTATTTGTTTATTTATTTATTTCCTTATTTATTATATTACCTCCAGTCTTAATTATAAGACCTCGTTTGTAGTCGTTTGTAAACTACAAACGAGGCCTTAGTATATTTCATGCGCAAATTCTTTGAATATCTCAGATGTACTTGCAACTGTTATTGTTGCCATTAATTGTCAATTTACTTGCTTTCGTAAACCTGTGATATTTTAATTGGGCAAGTCGCCTAAAGAGAATGCTTATCGTTGCCTCTGAAAGGTGCTACATATGTCAGCAAAATATTTGTAATTCTGATTTACGGTCCTCAGTTCCTTTATCATTGGCGTAAACTTTACAATAACGAAATTCAATGTCTCTAGAGATGAATAAATTGATCGATGGTTGTTTTCCTGGATTGACAACGGCCCCTACTGTGATATATACAGGTAAGATGCATGAGTTCTGACCTGGAGAGGAAAAGGATATGCAGCGGCGGTCGTAATGGAATTTTAAGGCTTTGGGATGCCACCATCAACATCTGATCCTGACTGATATCCCCGTGAATTTTCATGGGTGACACTTGAAAGAGAAGCTAATTCGTGACGGCGATAGCCTACAGGCTACAATATTCTTGTTTATTCCCTATACGTATATAATATGTATGACGAGTTAAAACCGAGAATGCAATTTTGGTTAATGTAATCCCTCTGCCAACAGTTAAATTGTTTGTTGTGTGTAGAGTTTGATACATCCTAAATGTACATACAAGGAACTAACAAATACTGTTATTACAGTAGGTAAATTTTTGCCAGAGTTGATTGCAAGTTAATTTGCGCTATGCGACATTGCGTCATTGAAATCAAAACTGATAGGTGGTTATCTCTGTTAAACAAATAATAATGGTTATATTGTACATCAAAATGCCAGGACACTCCAAACAGTCAATAAGTAAAACAATGAAAGTCCTGAAACTTTTGGCCAAAAGTGTAATCAACAACTACACATTTTCCCTTGAAAACTTGCATTTGAGATATTTAAGAAACATTTTCTGGCGGATTCTAGCAGAATATGCACCAAGTTACGGGTAGAAGATAGGAAAACGAGAGCTATGTCAATTTAGTCTTCTTAGACTTCGCGCCCGTCTTCTCAGGACCATCTTCTTCTGAAGATGAGGTTTCAGCTAAATCATCAGGCACATCTGAGGAGCATTATGCTTTGTTATAAAATCCTTCAATATGACCATGCTTTTCTCTTTCAATGAAAAATTTGCTCCGACAGAGAACCATTGTCTGCCTGAACAGAATAAGATTCTGCACCAAGACGAAGTGTAGCTTTAGCCAGAGGCTTCAACGGCATGGCATCACAGGATTCAGCTTCCATCATAACCCTCACCCTGCATAGCGAACAATTGACGATTTAGGACAGCCTAGGAGATGAAAGCCAGAGGAAGATACAAATTCGAGACCATTTCAGGAAATAACCAATCCTTTTTTCTTTTTGACAAAAGGAAATAATCAATCTAAGCACAACATCCAGCATTTGAGGCCCCTTAATATTTTCAAAAATTAACAAATTTCAAATTTCAGGCACGTCTGAAGCTATAATGTCAAATCGTTAGTTATCTTAAATTCTTGTCTTCAATTCTACCGAAAGCACGGCATCTTCAAAGATTGGCGCGTTCAAGAGTTAAAACGTACACAGCCATTTTAATTGAACAAATACTCCTTAACGATCACAAACCTTTCAGTCTCTATAGACATACTACTGTGATGCCAAATAATCAGAGATAAAACTGAAAAATCATTACTAAATGAGAATAAAATGGTCGAGATTACGCATTCAATTAATAAGTAATTTCAGCTAAACTGTTCTTTTTTAGGAATAGAAACCGTATTCAAAAATCAAAGAACAGTACAACAAAACAAGCTAGGTTAACCCCCTTCATCAAACTCCTCCTCCTGCTCAAGAGGTGGAGGTTAGCTACTGTTCTACGCTGAGTGGGTAGAGTTACCTAACTTTAATTCCCAATAATCCGGAAATCAAAATAGTAAAAAGAAAGAAAAAGACAACATAACAGCCGAGGCTGTGATAAATCAATCCTATGTACGATTCTCATTGTGTCTCGCCATCGATTGTGAAAGGAAACCTCAACAATATGAGAAAGCCAGAGTGAGAGTGGGGATCATTACCTGAAGTAGACTGACGAAAGATCGTTCAGCTCAGCCGCTAGTAGGAGATAGTCGAGGGAGAGAGGAAGAAAAGGGATCCACAGAAGGGCCTTTCTTTAGAGGCCTGTGATTTATACAATTTGGGTAATAGCCCAGTAAGTCTGAGCCCAAGTTGAGAGTTACCATGAAAAAACAGATTATTCAACTAATTCCACGCTTAATTAATTTCATTCTTCTTCAATTCGTGACATGACAGTAAACCAACCCCTAAGGGGCAAAAAGGATGATAATAAAGAAAATTTAGTATATGTGAAGTCAGAAATTGATGAGGTAATTTAAAACATGTTACGAGATTTTATTAAAATCTATGTATCTGCATATAGTATAAAGGAAAAACCCCCAATAAAATTCAGTTAAAATACCTAAATTCAAATTAAACCCTACATTTTAAATAAATTCTTAATTATGACATGAGAATTAATTTAAGATTTCTGAATTTTGTTAAATGATCAGAATACTTCTCTTTAATTAAAATAAAAAATTAATTATTTTACTCTTTTAAGTGATCTTTTACCTCTTATAATTATTTTTAAGACCCAAAAACACATAAAATTTTTTATAGTGTTTAAAATTTATATATATAGCTAAAATATTCAAAGATATTTTAATAAAACATTTTAAATTTGAACATAAATAGCCTTAAAATAAATATTTTTATTTTATGTTTGTAAATATTTATTTTAAGATTTTAAAATATTTTAATTACAAAAAATATTCATTATTATGTTCTTATAATTTATGTTAGTTTTATTTGTTTAAGCAAACATTGGATTCCAACCCAAAACATAATTTGGAGCAACTCAACATAAAATATTTCTTTTAATTAAGATATTTTAAAATCTCAAAAATAAATATTTACAACCTGAAAATATAAAATATTTATTTATAGAGTACTTAGATTGTAATTTAAAATATTTGATTAAAATATTTTTAAAGGTTTTGGTTATATATACAAATTTTAAACATTATAAAATTAATGTGTGTTCTCTAGTCCAAAAAAATCATAAGAAATAAGAGTAACCATTTAGGAGGGGTAAAATAATTAATTTTTTAAATTAAATAAGAGAACTCTAGTCATTTAGCAACATTCAAAAATTTCTAATAAGACCTCATGGCCTAATTAGGAATTTGTTAAAAATATAAGCATGAATTTAAATTTAAGTATTTTAATTGGATTTAATTGGGATTCTCCCTAATATAAAAGCTCTTGTAATAAAATATTTAATAAGTTATATTATTCTGGTTTTTTTTTTTTGCGTCTATAAAATCATATTATTCTTTAAAATCCAAGCAACACAAAGGGCTTTCCCTAATTAAAAATAAATATTACTTGTGATTCTTAATATAAGAGTTAGTTTAACATTCAATTTGATCTTAAATATGAGACTCCAATCTATTTTCTCATATTTATTCTTTTTTTTTTAAGATAGTTCTTTGTGGTAATTGTACATGTTATATGTTTTATCAAATAATAGTTCTAGTTAATACAAATGATTAACAAGAGTATTTTAAGAAACATAACACCTGTTTATTAATAACTAACTTAACTAATTTTCTTAATGTACTCAAATTAATCAACTAGTTTTTATATTAAATATTAAATTAAAAGTATTATAATTTTTAATCCATCAAGTTTATTCTCGTTTTGATTTTGACTCATTGAGTTTGAAATTATAAGTCTTAGTCCATTAAATTTCTTTTCATTCAAAGCATTAGTCTATTTAATTCAATAAAAATCTAAATCATTTTATTCTTCAATGGCTAAAACCTATAATTTGAAACCTAAAAAATCAAAACTGAAATGAAACCAAATTTAAGGGACTAAAAATTACATTAATTTTAATTTAAAACTTAAAAATCATTTTTCTTGGTATAAAGATTTTAGAAAAGGGGTCAGGCTCATCCACAATCCAAGGGCAGGGCATCTAACACTAACCCACTGGGGTCTGTCCCTATAGGCACAGGAGCAAGACAAGCAATTCCCTTTTTTTATGGCCTAATAGATAGAAATCTTTCAACTTCACTATAATGTGGTAATGCCTCCCCTAATACTATGATTGGAATCACAAGAAAGTGGCACCTTCTAGGATCGAACCCCTCCACTACGCAATCATTTTTTCTTTCATAAGTTCTAATCAGTTTTTTGTTTGTTGCCCACCCAGTTCATCGGAGCTTTACTCTGACTACATCTGGATCCGACTCGCGTCACGTACCTGGCTGTGGTGGGTAAGTCTCCCAACGGGTATTTCTGCATATGCTGAGGCTCAAACTCGAGACCTCGCTTAAGTGGTACCAAACCGCTTACTACTTGAACCAACCCCCGTTGGTAGGTCTAATCAGTTTTTATTTGTACGCTTGTTTCATCAGGCCTAGGCCCATTCAGGAGGACAAGGCCTAGTATAGTTTGGGCTACCCAAACTCACCCAACAAAACGACTCCATTTTATTACCTCACAAAAAAAAACCCCGCCCCTGTATGACTAATGAAGGAAGAAGCTCGTTCCGTGACGAACCCAAACCTGAGGAGAGCACTCTCTGATCCCATATATCTACCGGAAAACTGAATGAACAGCGGTCGAACAAGATCCCGTTTAAGTTAACATCGTTTTGCTGATCCCGCATTACCGTCAGGAAGTCTGTTTGGTAAAAGCTGAAGAGAAGAGATCAAATTCAGAAATGGAGTCTCCGCAAGGTGGATCCGAGAGAGATAAATCCAAATCTTCGTCGTCATCTCCGATCCCTGTTGTCTCCAGCTTCTGGAAAGGTATCCAAATTTCACTTGGCTATTACTATTACCATGTTGCAACTTTCTGCACGACTTACAACTTCAATTACACGCGTTTTAGTTCATTTCAGTGGATGGATGGATCGTTGAACTCACTGCCGCTGAGTAATAGTTCTTGCTTAGCCTTAACCTTTGTGGCTGTTTACGAGTATGATTGTTTAATGAGATTCCTTTTTTTTTTTTAAGTAAAATGTTTAATGAGATTCTTTTTCTAAATTGGTTTTGCCCTCCACTTCGGGATATATTTCCCGTATAGTTCCTGACATTCTGCTGAACTTTGAATAAAATAAAATAAAATTGCAAATTGATGGCTTACTCAGGAATGGAATCTTCAGTCATCTTAATCAGACCCAATTGAACTCATTCTTCACTTTTTAATGCCAAACGAAGTTAGCAGAGTTCCTTTCTACTTTGTAAAATCGGCATAGCGCGCATCTAAAAGATCGTGTACGCATGAAGGGTAAATGGTGAAATAAGTATGGTATTTAACTTCCTTTCTTGAACATTTTAGCAATGTTATCTTCTTTCTCACCCGTGTTCAGAGATATTATCAGAAGGACAGATGCTCGTTTATGCCCCTTTCAATTTTGAAAATGAACGAGATACCAAATATTTATTTATTTATTTTTTTCAATGTTCCCTTACTGTTTTAAATGAATACTATTCTGAGTTATCTTTAGAGCAGTTAACCGCAGCAGGCGGAGGAGAAGTTATACAGGCAACGCGCGTGCACACACACACACACACAAAGAATAGAAAGACAGACAGAAAGAAAGCGCCATAGAACATAGCATCAGAA